TGGACTGGTTCTAAGAAGAACAGGAATCTGGGTGGATTTTTATTTTAATTTCAGGGTGGATCTGCAAAATTTTAGGGCGGGATAATAGAAGGAGGAAAAAGTCTGGCCTGACTTTTTATAAACAGAAATCAGGGTGAATTATGGCTCATTTAAATATTTCAAATTTATCCCACCCTGAAATTGCTCTCAATTTAACTAGAAGTAAATCTATTTTAAGAAATCTGTGTCAGTGAAAATTCTGCCCTGGATTTCCATTTCAGGGTGGTATTTTTTCTGGCTCATTTAAATATTTCGTTGAATCCACCCTGAAAACACTATAATATTGTATACTAAAAAATCTAAAAATAGATTTCTGTCTTCTCTATAGTCAACTGAATAGCTTAAAAAACCTGGCTGGGAATAAATGTCTTATCCCATGTCAAATCAGGGTGTAGTCAGGGTAGGCATTTTCGTACAGGAAGGACGGACGGACAACGCCAAAACTATATCCCCCTCCCGATTCCATCGGCGGGGGATAACAAGGACTTAGCATCTTGCGAGAAGAGTTATTTCTTTTGACTCACTGTCATAATTTTTGACATGTAGTAATTTTAACTTATAGGGAACTAGAATATTTGGTAACGGGTATTAAACAAATGTAATTTATTGTTTACATTTATATATAGCCTTGTTATGAGTCAATCAGTAGATTTGTGAATAAATTAGGGTATCATGCTATTTTAGACAGATTTACAATGAATACAAACTAGTCATGTCTAATATATAGACTGTCAGAAATTTTTATATAAAGGCCTCCTCATACGAAGAAAGTGGGAGATTTAAGACTAAACAGTGATACAAAATTGTTTGTTTTTCAGAACTAAAACATGTATGAAAACTTCTAATTATGAGGTTTGATATACATTCATAATTATGTTATATATTGTTCTGATGATATTTATTTTATATTGTAAAACCGAAAAAAAGTGCAGTATTATGAAAATCATTTTACTGGATTATTTATTGGAGTTGACATAAAAATTGTTTATTTATCTACATGACTTGTATCTTATATTTAATGCTTGTTAACATAGTATCTGGGATACTTTAATTGTCTACTCTCAAAAATGTTGTAACCTCTTTCTTTTGAATTTCTTCAACATATTTTTCTCACTTTTTCTCAAATCATAGAACTGAATTTACGTGTCCTAAACCAAGAGTGAAAACTTCTGACAATCAAATGCATAATTTGTTCAGGTTCAATACATTAAACATGGTGACCATGTGAATTATAAAGTATTTACATTAAGCATGTATTCTGTGCGGGGACACGCTTAACTTTTATACTTTTTCTAAAAGCAGACAAATTAATGGTTTAAACAAATCTTTAAAAAGAAAAATAAGTTAAAAAAAATGTTGTTCCTTTTCTTCAAAGTTTGGTAGATCTGTCTAGTAATACTTGTTGTTTTGTTCAAGTATGAATGATTTCCATAAAAAAAATGACAAAGTTAAGAAAATATAAGAAAAATTCAATCATATGACGGTCACGGTCATATATAAATTATTCAACATGTCCGTTTGGTCACAAGTGTTGTCTTGTCCACGTATGATACAAATCTGTAGATAAATAACAAAATTATGACAACTTAACCATAATTCAATTGTATGACCTTGTCGGTCAAGGTCATTGAAAACTCAAGGTCAAGGCAGTTCAGCCATTAAGAAGGACTTGTCCAAGTATGAAGATAATCTATTTTGATTAATAACCAAGTTATAGGCAATTATAACAATATATATATAAGTAGTGAAAATTCTATAATTTGACCTTCAGGGTCAAGGTCATAAATGAGTCAAGGTCAATTTTAGTTTGATATCCATGAATTAAGGTCCTGACCTAAAAGATGTTATTTCTAAATATGAAGTTAATCCATTTATAAATAACAAAGTTATAGCCAGATACAAAAGAAAAAAAGAAATTTTAAATAATTTGACCTTCAAGATCAAGGTCATTTATGATTGAAGGTCAAGGTCTTGTCTAGTAAGCTTGCAATTCTATCCTAAAAGATTGTTTTGTTCAAGCTAGAAGACAATTCATTTAAAATTAACAAAGGAATAGCCAATTATAGCAAAACTCAGCAAAAGATAAGCAAAATTTAGACATTTGACCTTTGACAAGGTCATTTATAATTGAAGGTCAAGTTTAGTCTAGTCTTCTAAAAGATATTGTCTCAAGATTGTTATCGCTAAGTATAAAGACAATAAACTGAACTTTTAAAAAGTATTAATCAAGGTTAAACGCCGCCATGACTGTTTTAATACATGTACCTCTATTTTTTCTTCAAAAATATGTCAAGCTTATAAAACTGGTTCATGTTTCCATAGCAACATTGTGACCATTAAAACATTCACATTCCTTATTGTGCAAAAAAATATGTAAAATCTACCATTGTACTAAGACCTTACAGTTTATTCATTTGATAAAATTAACAATAGTCCAGATTGCAATAATCTAAGAAATCCGGTAAATCTCGCTGTTTTGCAGTGTCAAAAGATATGAAAATTGTTTATATTACCATGGAATTTTTCGTTTATGAATTCATTTAGTGTTTAAATATCAACACCAACCTTACAAAAGCTGGAAGGAAAAAAATAAGTTGGCGTATTTTAGAATAAGAAAAACAATATTATGAGACCGAAACATGTTCAAAACGGCAAAAAAACGCTGAATTTAGCTTGGTTGCTATGGTAACCAAATAAATAAAATAATCGCCAAATGTCTTCTTGTTTCTGATTAAGCACAAAAATATGAACTTTTACTGAAATTTTGATGAATTTCTGACACAGGGCAATTTTTCACTCATGCTGAACCTAGCCCTTTGAACAATTTTGGTAGAGGACCCATAGATGATATCATATACCAAATATCAAAGCTAAAAGCCTTGTACATGTATCTTAAGACAAGAAGATTTTTTGAGTTTTTTCCATGAGTATGTGTATATAGTGAAAATCAATGACCCCCGGGGTGTGGCCAATTTTTATCCCAGGGCTATAATTTGAACAATCTTGGTAGAGGTCTACCAGACAGTGCCTTATGCAAAATATATAAGCCTCTAGGCCTGTGGGTCTTACGAAGATTTTAAATTACTCTTGATCATTCTTTTGGTTCGCCATGCAACCAGATTCTGAATGGAATCAATTTTTCGAACTTTGGGAAGCCTTCGCACCCCAAGGAAAATCCTGCAGTTTTTCTTTGGAAATGGGGACATGTGGTTTTCAAAGATATTAAGGTTCACTATATCAATCTATATAACACACACACACACACCTGTAGGTGAATCACTATATGCCATCGCAGATACTGCGGTGACATTACTACATTTCAAGTTTTATTACACACATTGTAACAAAACATCATTTTGGTTACTTTTTTTTAATTATAAAAAAGGGCATCGCGAAAATATGTGACAAACGAAATTTTGTCTATTTCCTGCAAAAACATCACATTTCTAGTTCTTGTTGGTTTTGATTATATCAGATTAAATATTTTTTTACTATTTTAAGATTATTATTTATTGAAAAATTTAATGTGCTTACTTGAAAGCAAAAAAATTTACGAGTGGCTGAGTGTAACTTTTTTTAAAGGAAGCTGGATCCTTTAAGAGAATTCTTTGCATCAGCCAGTGAACTATTATCGGAACAGCTCATGATATTTGCTTCTTGAAATTTATTTTCGAACATCGAGACTGGACGGTCACGAAATTATCTCGCACAACCTTGATTTTTATTGAAGGCCATGACGAGCTACTGAGGACTATTATTCTGCAGACCTTATAGAACGACCCTTGGGTAATTACGCATACAAGCTGGCTGGACTCAAGTGACCACTGGTGTTTATTGATTAGATCATGGAAGCAGACTTCTGCAAGTGGCTTACGGACTTTGGTAACAGGGGATGGGATGGATCAGAAGCACTGGCGGTGGGAATTTGGGTTGAAGCTTAAAGGCACACAGGGGGAGGCCGCGGGCCCGAGGGTGCTTGGAAGGCGGCCTGGGAAAGGCCTGGTATTACATATTGGGGAAAAGCTGCTACATATAAGAAATCAATGTCCCAGGCAGCCAATTTTGACCCAGGGGCCTTTTATTTGAAATCAACATCACTGGACACTTACTAGAAAATGTTCATGCCACATATCTACTGGTACTATTTGGGTTTATTTTATAATAAGATTAGTAAGTTTTTTCTTTGGCTAATATGGTACTGCAAAGTTCTGGCGGGGAATAAATCTTTAAACAGTGTTTTAAAGGTCAGCCACGAAGGAAAATTGTGTGAAGTGTTGATAAGAAGGCTTAGCGGTTTATGAAGGATGGTTTTTAAAGTAAAGTTTTACGGGATGGATGACAGAGGAAGAGCGGATCGGAAAAAGCGTCAGCCCGCGCGGCCGCCCGCCGTGTCACTTTTGTAAGCAAATTGAGCTAATAAATCCAGAAGCGAAACCCAGATATGCACACTTCACAAGCTGGAGTAACATGTACCGGTAGTTCCATGACTCTGGGGTCAAAATACTTTTTTTCGTGCCAACACAAGTTGAAAATTGCGAAATTTTTTTAATGGTGTCCAAAGGGGCAATAACTCCTAAAATTACTAAATAAATCAAAGCAAAGTACCAGGTACACAACTACCCATGCGACTCAACATTCGGGTAAAGTTTCCATGACTCTGAGGTCAAATACTTTTTAAGCAACATGCGAAGGACGTACAACGGACAGTGGCACAATGGAATAAAGGGGCTATCTTCTATTGTTATTATGGCTTTTGTTGAATAGAGGCCATGTGCCCCATATTTCTATTGTTAGGAATGAACTCTAGCTGATTCTCTTTCGTGTGTTCTCGTACTATATACAGTCTTAAACGGTCCCCTACTTCGTTAAATAAGCACAGAAGATGGACAATCTTATGCTCCCTAGAAGTGGGTCACAATAGACACCTTATTAAAATGAGAAACAAATGAAGACAAACATACCTAGGGGATGGTACATCTTCAGAACCTAAAATAGAAAAAAAATCAATTGTTACAGAATATAGAAAAACATGCATGAATTTAATTGCAAACACAATGATAAAACAAAAGGGCCCAGGATGGGGCCCTGGATCACTGCCCACACCAAAAATAAGTCAAAAGGTACGAAACTGGAGAGCGGGCGTCGTTTCACCCCAACAGCACAATTTGAAAAACATTAGCGACAGTTGTACATCTGAACAATTCTTGTGTACTCTACTCGAGAGAAATTTTTTGTAAATTTATTAGACAGCTTCAGCGCCCTGTTAAAGTAGACAGGTGAGCTGATATAACACATGACACGGTAAAAAGAGGAGGGAAACGAACAGTTTGAACTGTAACTCAGTTCCTTGGCAGATTATTTCAAACCTAGGGGTTTTTATTTGAACAAACAAATTGTAGACATCCACAAGATGTTTTATGCCAAATATTTATTATAAAGTGCTTTTGGATTTTCACAAGAAGATTTTTTTTTTAAATTACTAAATACATACATGTATAAGAAAAATCAATGACCCCTGGGGCCGAGCCAGTTTTGAACCTAGGGCTTTCATTTCGACAAACTTGGTAGACATCCACTAAACATGTTATATGCTAAATATATAAGCCTTAGCTCTTTTGGATTTTCACAAGGAGATTTTTTAAGTTTTACTATATACATGTACATGTAAGTATAGGAGGAAAATCATGAGCCCCCTGGGGGGAAGGGGCAGGATTTTGGACCCAGGCTTTATATGGTAAAACGTGTAGACATCCATAGAAGAAATCACAGAGAATCAAGGCCGACCCTTGGGAGGACATTGTCCGTCAGTGAAGTAACAAGAGGGCCATGCATGGCCCTGAATGAAAATACCACCTGTGTTATAAAAGCTCTCGCATGCCCAAGGTTCATATAATTAGTACTAGTTGTCTAATAACGAAGAGGCAATTTAAAATCTTAATCTAAAACTGATGATGCAAAAGCTCGATCAATATTTGCAATCTGAAATGAATTGTAAAAACGTCATGATGGGCCATTGCTTTATAAAAACAAGGTAAAAGATGTGACATTATGAGAGATAATCAATGACCCCTGGGGTGGGGGAGCCAATTTTTGAGTCCCCAGAAACCAATGTTATTTTGCCCATTTTGACCCCAGGACAGTTATTTAGAACAAATTTGGCCAGACATCCATTAGAAGATGTTTTCATGCTTAATATCTAAGCTCTAGCTCTTGGTTTTTTTTTTAGATTATTTTTGGTTTTTACTATATACATATTAAAAAAATCAATGACCCCCGGGGCGTAGCCAATTTTGAACCCCTGGCTTTTATTTGAACAAACTTGGTAGAGTCTCACTAGAAGATGTTTCATACTTAATATCTAAGCCCTAGCTCTTTGGGCCATTTAAAATACATTTTTTTAAGTTTCTACAATAGACAATGACATACTTGGATGGGGCCAAATTTGACCCTAGGGCTTTTATTTGAGCAAACTAGGTAGACATTCACAAGAAAATGTTTCATGCTTAATATTTAAGCTCTAGCTCTTTGGGTTTTTTTTAAAAGAAGATTTTTTTTTGTTTTCATTATATACATATAAGGAAAACTAGAACTGCCACTCTCATGGCATGAATACCCCCGCATACCACTTTATCATACAGTGGCCATTTAGAACTCAAGGACTACCACCCTGCCAAATCTGAGGTTACTAAGCCAGTGCATTGCTAAGATATGTATTCTCCATGCTTCAAATGTGAAAATTTTAAAATCAAGATTTTTTAGTCAATGCCCCTGTGACCTTGAACTTTGACCCAATGACCTCAAAAACAATAGGGGTCATCTATTAATCATGACTAACCTCCATGCCAAATATGAAGACTGTGGGTCAAAGGAATCTCAAGTTATTGGGCGGACAAGCTTTTTTTTAGTCAAGGTCCTTGTGACCTTGACCTTTGACCCAGTAACCTCAAAATCAATATGAGTCATCTACTAATCATGACTAACCTCCATGCCAAATATGAAGACTGTGGGGCAAAGGAATCTCAAGTTAATGGGCGGGCAAGGTTTTTTAAGTCAAGGCTCCTGTGACTTTGAACTTTGACCCAGTGACCTCAAAAACAATAGGAGTCATCTATTAATCATGACTAACCTCCATGCCAAATATGAAGACTGTGGGCCAAAGGAATCTCAAGTTATTGGGCGGACAAGCTTTTTTTAGTCAAGGCCCCTGTGATCTTGACCTTTGACCCAGTGACCTCAAAATCAATAAGGGTCATCTACTAATCATGACTAATCTCCATGCCAAATATGAAGACTGTCGGCCAAAGGAATCTCAAGTTATTGGGCAGACAAGCTTTTTAAAGTCGAGGACCCTGCGACCTTGACCTTTAACCCAGTGACCCCAAAATCAATAGGGGTCATCTACTAATCATGACTAACCTCCATGCCAAATATGAAAACTGTGGGTCAAAGGAATCTGAAGTTATTGGGTGGACAAGGTTTTTTTAGTCAAGGACCCTGTGACCTTGACCTTTGATCCAGTAACCCAAAAATCAATAGAGGTCATCTACTAATCATGACTAACCTCCATGCCAAATATGAAAACTGTGGGTCAAAGAAATCTCAAGTAATTGGGCGGACAAGCTTTTAAAAGTCAAGGACCCTGTGACCTTGACCTTTGACCCAGTGACCCCAAAATCAAAAGGAGTCATCTACAGATCATGACTAACCTCCGTGCCAAATATGAAAACTGTGGGTCAAAGGAATCTCAAGTTATTGGGCGGACAAGGAAAAACCGACGGACAGGGAGACGTCCAGACGGCCGGACAGACAAGCTGATTCCAGTATACCCCCCTTACAACTTTGTTGTGCGGGGGTATAATCAATGATCCCCAGGGCGGAGCCAATTTTGACCCCAGGGCTTTTACTTGAACAAACTTGGTAGTCACTAAATAGAAGATATTTCATGCCTAATATCTAAGCTCTAGCTCTTCAGGGTTTTTTTAAAAAAGATTTTATAAATTTTTACAATAGACATAATTATAAGGATAATAAATGATCCCACCGGGGCGGGGCCAATTTTGACCTTGATCTGAGGTAGTCTTAAACTGGGCTATGCATATCATCTCAATAATATAAATATTTCTACCAAATAATTTCATACAATCAGTTTAATTGAAACAGAGCGAAAACACTATTTTGAAATTGATACAAAATGACAGGGATCATTCTTGGGGGCGATTTCCGCGATTTCTCGCAAAAAATCACCAAAATCTCAGAGAAATTTGTGAAATGAGAGAAAATCTCACACGGTAATTTGAGGCGGAATATGTCTTTTCACAATCTAAAGAATGCTAAAATTTCACAAAAATATGATGAAAATTTCATGATTCACATCAAGAAGTTAATTTCAAATTGTTTATTAATGAAATCGGTGTAAAAAACTCCACAAAGTAGCCCAACACTTTGAATTATTTAGCCTAAAATAAATGCCGATCGGATCGGAGACAGCAAATTCACTGTACAGAAATACAGTATGATGGCTAGCCTTTATCTATCTATAAGTCGAGAATTTACACAAAACACTTTTAATTGATTTTAATAAAAATTGTTACACAGACTAACATAAAAATGGACATGTCAAAAATAAAATACCGGTAAAATTTGTCTTCTAAATGTCACATCAACCACGGTAAATTTTGCTGTAAAGAACAAATTTAAAAATTTTGTTTTACGGTTCCTGATGAAATAGCCGATAATAAATATTCTTTTATTGAACAAAAATATTTAATTTTATATAATTGCAATCAACAAAAGCTAAAATTGTGAATGTTTCAGCGGAAAACAGACAAATATTCATTTGTCACATATTTCCGCGATGTTGTGATTAAAAAAAGACCAAAAGGAAGCTTAGTCTTATTTAAAGGTGTTTTATAACACTAAAAATGATGTTTATGAATAAAAATTACTTTAGGTATTGTTTATTTTTGTGGATATGGAGATATTTGTCATTATGTGTTCAGGTCACATATTCAATGAATATATTTTAATGGAGGGAGGTGTGTGAAGAGAATCATAAAGGAAACAACATGTAAGGTTATAAAAAAATATTCTTCAAATCTCACTTCTGTACAGTACAGTGTTGTCCATTAGTAACATTGGCTGCAAATAATAGTTGCAGTAGATATCCTTGTATAATTCTTTTATATTTCAGAATAAAGTTGTTATATTTATTTTTCACAATTATAATTTTATTAGGTTTAAAAAATCACAATAGAAAAGGCATAGGATGTTTAAAACAAGAGCACCGCTAGGCGGAGCATTATATGCCCGAAAGTGATTTTTTTTTAGTAAAGATGAAGCATTCGTAAGACATGGGAATTAAATAAAGTATTACCTCCTTCAAATAACAATCCTCCTTTGAAGTTTCAATATTGTGGTCCAAATGGAACTTAAGTTATGCCCCAGAAACTGTTTTCAATTCTAAGGTAATAGTGACCTTGACCTTGTGACCCCAAAATCAATAGGGGTCTTCTACCCAATATGGACAATCATCCTATGAAGTTTGAATATTGTGGGCTAAATGGAACTTAAGTTATGCTCAAGAAACTGTTTTCAATTTCTAAGTAATAGTGACCTTGACCTTTGACCTTGTGACCCCAAAAACAATAGGGGTCTTCTACCTAATATGGACAATCATCCTATGAAGTTTGAACACTGTGGGCCAAAAAGAACTTTAGTTATGCTCCGGAAACTGTTTTAGTTTAAAGTTAATAGTGGTCTTGACCTTTGACCTTGTGACCCCAAAATCAATAGGGGTCTTCTACCCAATATGAACAATCATCCTATGAAGTTTGAACACTGTGGGCCAAATGGAACTTAAGTATGCTCCGGAAATTGTTTTCAGTTTTAAGGTCATAGTGGCCTTGACCTTTGACCTAGTGACCCCAAAATCAATAGGGGTCTTCTACCCAATATGGACAATCATCCTATGAATTTTGAACACTGTAGGCCAAATGGAACTTAATTTATGCTCCGGAAACTGTTTTCAGTTTTAAGGTCATAGTGACCTTGACCTTTGACCTTATGACCCCAAAATCAATTGGGGTCTTCTACTTAATATGGTCAATCATCCTATGAAGTTTGAATATTGTGGGCCAAATGGAACTTAAGTTATGCTCCGGAAACCAAATTGCTAACGGACGGACGGACAGACGGACGCAAGGGGGTATAACATAATATGTCCGAAATTCTTTCGGGCATATAAAAAGTGAAGACAAAAATCACTGTAATAAATATAGCTACAGCTTCTTATATACTCATTAGATAAACAATGTTTTTATGTAGTACAGTTATTTTAAAAAGTTAGAAATTTCCATATTTTTAACCTCGCCCATCATGAAAATTAAATGTCTCAAGAAAATCTAATTTCTCTCATAAAAATTTCTCAAATGAGAGAAAATCTCTCACTGAAAATCCTGACCAGAATGATCCCTGATTGACTAAGTGTGACCTTGACTTTGACCTGAGGAAGGTAAAACCTGCACATCGTCTCATTACGATTAACATTTCTGCCAAGTTAAGTTTGAATTTCCTTCCAAGTTCAAGAGATACAGACCAGACAGGAATTCCTGTATAGGTCTATATAATTCATTTAATCTCCAGGGTGGGGCCAATTTTACTTGTGTTCTGCACACCGTCTCAATTAATATACAGTCAAACGTGTATTAAGCGACCACGCAAGGGAAACAACCAAAACGGTCGCTTAATGAAACAGTCTCTTAAAGTTACATTAAATAAATATGTAAAAATATTTTGCCGTCGTCCTTAAAACCAAGCATTCTACTGTTTTATTCACCTTTTTAACAGTATTGTTGTAAATCTCATCAAATATTGTTCATAAATTACGATTTTAAACGGAAAAGCCCTCGGTAACACTAAAGTTCGTATACGAATTTTAACATGCAAATGAAGACCATAATCAGTTCATGTATGTGCTACGTCACAGTGTTATAGTTGCTATACAGAACACAGCAAATACGAGATTTTCATGTGCATACACACTTTAACCGTTTTAGCTTCACGGTGCACTTGGCATGGCGTTCAGGAATTAGTAATCATCTCATAAAAAAATTAAATTTGTATGAAAACAACCGTTACAAAGCGTTAATATACCGTTATATTAGGACTGCTACTTATAACCATGTTTGTTGATTTAATGTTGATGCACGGATGACCCGAAGGCGGAGTTTCTCATGCAAATTCCGATTTCGCCACAATGAGGTCGCAGATGTTTATGCTTATGAAACTCATTTTGGTTGCTTTGACACCATAATAAGATCTGGAGTCGATATGAAACAAAATTTACTAATGAAATGTCGCTATTTCTGTTTTTAAGAAATTAATTTAATGTAGCTTTAAGACAAAGCATTATAAACTAGAAATGTGTCCATAGGACACGGATGCCCCCACACGCCACTGTTCTGTCAATCTTATGACTCAAATATTTTTCTGGACTACATGTGCCACAAGTTGAAAACTAAAAATCAACAAAAGGCCATAATTCTGTTTAATTTGGTCGCAGCAAAAAATCCTTCCTTTACTACCATCTACACATTACGGTTGTTCATCCTTGGAAGTTTAAGCAAAATCTGCAATCCGGTTTAAGAGGAGTTGCGGTCACAAAATTTCTACATACCCGGGTGTAGATTTTCCGAGGTTTATGAAAAAAACCATGGAAACTGCTTCAAAAACCTTGGAAATAAACCAGTTTTACAAGGTTTTTTTTTAATTCCGAGGTTTTTTTTAAAACCTTGGAAACTTTATCCAAGGTTTTTGTATAAAAATCCTTGGAAATAAAAAAAACCTTGGAAACTACCTCGGAATTAAACACTCTGCCAAAAATCAGCTCGGAAAAAGCTTGGAAATAAGAACTTTGTCATTTTTTTGCTCAGAAAAGAACTTAGAAAATTTACGTAAAATTTGTTGGAAACACTTTGCCAATATTTAGCTTGGAAATGACCTCGGATAATTGAACTTAACTAAATTTCATCTCGGAAAATGTTAAGACATAATCATGATTTAACTTATAATGGGCATCAAAAGCAATAATCAACAGTTAAAGCAAACTAAGATAACAACCCGACTGTAGATTGCCAATGGATATTTTTTAATCCATGGTCAGAGCAAACAATTGTCCAGCAGCATGGAAAGGAGAGATTTGGTCCAGGGAATCAATTTTTAGTATGGACATTGTCAATGGCCAACTTCTTTTTCAATAAATTTGTAAGCCATTTTTTGGGGAGGAATCAATTAAAAAAATTTAAGTGTGAAAACATGGAAAAGTTAAATACAATGTAAATTCCTTGTTGCCATAAAATACCTTTTATTAATGGCTATAAAGGTATTGTAACTAATCAAAATAAGATAAAGATTATTCAAATAACTGATGATCAGAAAGACTTGAAAATTTTATTTTTTTTATTTTCATATTTTTTTTTATTATTTATAATTATTGTTACTAGATATCTTCTCCATTTTTAAGAATAGATAAAAGAGCAAAACTTATAATTATAGAAAAAGAAACAATCAGTGTTTATGTCTATTTGTTTCCAAATACATCAGTATTTTTCCTGCAGTTTCTTTCTATATATAGACTTAACTTAGGGTTTCTTGACAGCCTGTAAGCAACACTGAAATAAGAATGCTATTAATCTTTAATATATGTTTTATGCCATATAAAATAGTATATTCTACTAAGCAAGTCTGTGACATACATTCAGATTACAATTTACTCTGCCATTAATTATGTGTACAATAAACATAAATAGTTATTAATTGTCCTTTAAATATAATTATGTACAATTGAATGTCGGAAATATAATAACCAGTATGCTTGTTAATTTCTTATAATTAGGATAAATAAATACTGCATCCACTAAGATTTCACACACAGAATATAACACACTGATCAGATAAAACTAATGGCACCCCAGGTGGTTCCCTTTATCAATGCATGATCAATCTTCTCATTGAGCATTCTGGGATAGACCAGATTGTTCCATGTGATTATTCAGGGGGAGTCTGGGATTTTATACAATCCAAAACAGTCTAAAATGACACTGCAACTGTGATTCTCTTTCAAGAACTTATTATAATTTTCAAGTTTTACTTTTATTTATCATTTGATATATTTGTACCTTCAATAAATGTCAAAAAAAAATGATGATGGCTTTGATATTTTGGGATCACCCCTGTTTCACATTATGATTGCCCCTTCAGTTATACTGTTGAAAAATTTGAATCTCAGACATTAATGGGTCAAGTGGTTATAGTTGGAAATAGTGCAAACCTGGATTTATTTAAAGCAATTATGGAGATATCTTGTTTTATTAATGTTAGGGAGCATATTTTGGAATTTTCAAAAAAAACATTTATCTAAGTGTGACAAGATTCAGGAAATGTTTGGTTGTTGTAATTGAACCTAAAGATCAATGACCTGGGACAGGAAGATAAACAAAAGAAACAAGATAGTTAAAATGTTCAGGTAAATAATTTTAGATACATTTATGCATACAATCTGTTGTTGTTTTTTTTTCAAATAAGTATTAAATACAAACTATTTTAGATCTATATTTTTAACCTAAATGTAAGCTAGTTTAAATACAATTGTTCAGAGGATATTTTATGAGTATAAATGCTATGTTTGTATATGATTGTATTGAACAAGAGTGACATTATTTATAAACTTTCATCTTTCATCTATTATTTGAATCTACAAATTTTTAATTACAGAGTCAGCTAGTAAGCAAGTTTGCAGGACTGTTCCAAACTATCCAGCTTTGCTGTGTTTTATCATAGTATAAAGCAGAGGAATATAATGGAATGTCATTGGCATTGGCACCTTCAAAGTCAAGTGATTAAGGAAGCCAACTGTAGACCAGGAAAGGCTTCAAGGAATATACTACAGTAAGTTTTTGTTTTAAAACTAGGTTTTGAAAGTTTCAATTTAAAATTTGAATGAATGAAGGTTTCTGTAACTGATCTTTTTATTGATACTTTGTTGGAATGCTGTTAATGTTACATGATGACTCTCCAGCTTTATTGATGCAGATGTCACTTTGAGCAGACAGATACAATTAGTGTAGGCAATCGGAATCACCTCAGCGTTATTTTTTGCAATATTTTTGGAGTGCTTTAGGTTGTAACATCCAGTATGACATAATCTAAAATAATAGTGACAGATAGTTTCTTTTCTTAACATCGCAGAATTGTCACACTGCTTACCAAAGTTTTCTTGAAATCCTAACACTTAAAGTACTGATGAAGAAAAAATAGAAATCAACATGAAAAAAATTAAATTCACTATTTCAAAACAGTAGACAAACATTTAAAAGTAACTACAGAAAAGGTCATTTGAAAATATTAAAGCCTTCATTTTAAGCAAAGGTCTTAAACAACTTGTCATTCAAGTAGTTTTGGATCACTCAAAAGATGTATTTCTTTTCACAAAAGTGCTGATTTTTTTAAACAATTATATATCAACAGTGAACTGATATTTTTGTCTATGGAAACGTTTAAGGAACGTATCATTTTTTTTATTGATTAATAAAAAAGAAATTAAATGATGTAATTCTGATTGCTAACACATACTGAACTGTCCCGAGTATAACCACAGGTGTTCCTTAATCCTGGGCTGGATAGCTCCCTCAGAGGGAAGAAGCCCATCCTGGCTTCAGGAGTCAAAAATACAATGTTGTAAGGTAAGTAGTTTGAAGTCTTTGATCCTGACCACATGGAGAGGGAAGCGCCCAGTGGTGATTTTATATAATTGTTTTTCTAACTTTTTTCAATGGCTGTACTTTATTAAATATTTACTTTATTTATTTCAGGAATTGTATCCTGGAGCATTTTCCACATGTGACCCCTGTGATGGTGAGGGAAAAACTAAGGGACACTTTAAAATCATGGAGAGTGAACAGGAATTCAAAAGATAGATATTTGAATACATTAAAATATAGCCGGATACCAAAAAATTATAACTGAACATTGATTGTAATATTTACCATTAAAGACTATAACTAACTTAACTTTTCATTTGTAGTGCATTACTATTTACTTCACACTGACATTAAATGTTTCAGTGAGTCATGTGATCATTTTTTGCTCTGTATTATTATAAAGAATTTTCTTAATTCCTTAAAAGGACAATATAATTGCTCTTTTCAGAATATTTCATTGGATGTTATATTTTCTTATTTTCCATGGATATTCTAGAAATTTCCAAGGTTTTTGCTCAAATAAACCTTGGAAAATTCTCTGATGCCCTTAAGTAAGAATCCTCGAAAATATAACAGTATTCCCAGTTGTGAGAAACTTTCCGAGGTTTTCATTTAAAAACCTTGGAAAAAAAACCACGGAAACACTTTAAAAATCCTTGGAAATTGTTCCAATACTCCGAGGTCACTCATTTTCCAAGGTTTTCTAAAAAAATCCTCGGAAATTATTTTACGAGGTTTTTATTCTGAAATCCTTGGAAATCGTTCCAATACTCCGAGGTCATACTTTTTACGAGGTTTTTTTAAATAAAAACTCGGAAATTTTTTACAAGGTTTTTCACCCTCTCCCTATTTTTCCAAGGTTTTTTTAATAGCAAAGTTTTGCATTTTCTTGTTCCAATACTCCGAGGTTTTTTTCCAAGGTTTTGAGCCAAAAACCTTGGAAAATCTACACCCGGGTAGTATATAGTGAAAAATTCAACAAAGGGCCATAATTCTGTTAAATTTGGTCGCAGCAAAAATTCCTTCCTTTAGTACCATCTTCACATTAAGGTTGTTCTTCCCTGTAAGTTTAAGCAAAATCTGCCATCCGGTTAAAGAGGAGTTGCGTTCACAAAATTTCTACATAGTGTATAGTGAAAAAATTAACAAAGGGCCATAATTCTGTTAAATTTGGTCGCAGCAAAAATTCCTTCCTTTACTACCATCTACACATTAAGGTTGTTCATCCCTGTATGTTTAAGCAAAATCTGCCATCCGGTTTAAGAGGAGTTGCGTTCACAAGATTTCGGGACATACGGACGGACAGACGTACAGACAGACGGACAGACAAACGGACAAGTGCAACGCTATATGCTCCCACTTTGTTGGGGCATAAAAAGTCAAAATTTATAATATGACATCTTTCTTTTGAGGTGGGAATGTTTCAACTTCATTAATATGAATGTTGAATAATTAGAACGCTCCGAAAATCTAAATGGATGCTAATGTAAAATATAACTTTCTGATATAATTGACAAACAGTTTTGATCAATTATGTACATGTTTGACATTTTCCAGAAATTTTTAACTTCTCCCTTGTTTTTCTTGTCTCCAACACGAAAACCCTTATAAGTGAAGATGTTTTCTGTTGTGCATTTTTTCATTTGAAATAAACAAACTACATCTAATTGTAACGATTCATGTAATTGCTGATCAAGTTCAAGGTCAATTCAATGCAGTCTAAATATCAACAAGTGAAGCGTATACACAATCTCAGTAGGGGCGGAGCTTCGCATTGTTTAATCAATATTATTGGATAATACACATCACGCATATACTTAAGTTGATTTGCATACACTAAAATGGTTTGGGAAATACAGTTTTTCACACATTTATATATTGTATTTTGATTGTTGACACTTGTGGCATTATGAGGCGGCATTCTCTAAAAACATAATTACTTGACAGGTAAAAATGGTTGACTGATGAAAAGATTGATCTCAATTAGCTGACTAATTAGTGGTTGCTGGTGGCGTTGAGCAAGTCGCTAAATATATTAAAGATATAGAGAGAAAATGATCAGGGGAATTATAAGTGGTCACATGAGACAAAAGTCGCTTTACACACATGGTCACATGGGCAGTTAGATTGTAAGTAATATTTCTGCCAAAAGGTTTTAATTTATTTCAATCAGTTCAAAAGATACTGAGCGAACAAAAAATTTTGAAACTGAATCAAAATGACTAAGTGTGATCTTGACCTTGACCTGAGAAAGGTCAAACCTTCGCTCAGCACAACTTCTATTATAGTTAAGAATTCTGCCATGTATTTTCATTTTCCTTCTGCCGGTTCTAAAGATACAGACTGGACACAAAAAAATTTCGGGGAGCATAATAAAACAAGAACTGTCGGAGGACAGTAATGCTTGACTATTCAAAAAGTTGTCACAAGTGTATTTCATTGAGTATAATTATGCTTATCAATATGAATACATAAAATTGTCCGAAAAGGTACAAAGGCTTGTTATTAAGATGTTTTATCGAGTTAATCACTGCTTTATTATAATGAATGCATAAAATTGTTCCGAAACAGGCACAAACGCTTCAGTAGTTATGGAGATACCAGCTTACAAGCAAAAACTTTACCTAGAATTTCTAAGTCAAAAAAGGTGCATAATTATGCACACAAAAAAACAATCAGAGTTATGGGACTTATGCCAATCATGTTAGATAATCACAGAGAATAAGTGTGTGAAGTTTCAATCCATTCCCTTCAGTAGTTATGGAGATACCAGCTTGCATGCAAAAACTTAACCAAGAATTTCTAAGTCGAAAAAGGGGTTTTTTATTATTCAAAAAAGCAAATCAGAGTTATGGGACTTGAGCCAATCATGTTAGATAATCACAGAGAACAAGTATGTGAAGTTTCAATCCATTCCCTTCAGTAGTTATGGAGATACCAGCTTGCACGCAAAAACTTAACCAAGAATTTCTAAGTCGAAATAGGGGCATAATTATGCAAAAAAGCAAATCAGAGGTCAGGTTTTGCACTCTTGACATCCAAATTTTCAATGTCAATGTCCAAATTTTCAATGTCAATGTTTTTAAAATACTGGCTATTGTGCTATTTTGCCTATCCATGGGCAGTATAGATCTTCCTTCTAGAAGTTTGATTCTGTCTCAGAACAATCATATCCCAGAATCTAGCTTTTGCATGCCAATATATTTGACTAGGCCATCCCAGTTTGATGGTTGTCCTGTTTTTTTTTTCAAAAATGGCAAAATTGGCTGGGAGAATATGTTAAAAGTAGTTCAAGACTTATATGTGACAAGTATAAAACTTACGTCTCTCAGTTGAAGAAAAGCTCTGCTATTTAAAAATGAGTCCTGCCACTCGTCTATCCTTGATCCATATATTCTGACACCTTTAATCACATCTAAAACTGGGTGATTCGAATGGTCAATATTTAAATACACCGGTACAAGTGTAGGCCTTTTTATGTCTGAATGAGATGAGTAGGGTTGGTAATTAAATAACATTTGAATCATGTATTTAAAGTTTTCGCTAATATTCGTTGATGTTATAGCTACAAAAGTTACTTTATTCTCTGAATGCATTTTCATATGTTGTTCAAAAAATGACATTCTTGATAGAAAGTCTCTGTCTGGGATATAACATTTATAACCCCATCCATTTATTTGTCTTTCTAAAAAATGAACGAATGATAAAATTTCAAACTGTTCCGATGAATCACCATCAGCAATAATATTACAATGATAAGCCATAGTTTTATTCCATTAACAGCTCTTCCTAATTTGCGCTGCCTATGGTATCACTCCACATTAAAAGTGGTAGGTATACAAGCAATTTGTTCCAAAGCAATTTGTTCCAAACTACAAAACATCGGTAGGTTACAATACCGAAATCAATCAACTTGATTTCGGTAGGCCTACTGGTTTCCTAGCAGTTTCTGGCCCCTGGCAATTTTCCAGCCGTTTATCATTTTCGTCCAGTTCAATCTATTTTTCACTGTAAAGTGGGCAATACACACTTTTCAAGGCTTCTCTGCAAACAACTAACTGCGGCACAATTAATTCTGTAATCAGGCACCTGAAATAAATGCATTTCATATTTAACATATACATGTATCACAGCAAACAATTAAAAAATTAAAATACATGTCCACCTTCTAGATTTCTGGCATACAGCCCTGTGTTTCTCATTGTTTTGGTCAAGAAAATCAACAACAAAAAGAATGGTTTACCTTCTTAAATTCGCAAAATAACGGGAATACCCTGCATGGAATGACAGACTATTCTCTCCCTTACCAGTTCCTCTCCCTGACGGTTCTCTCCCAAACCGTTTTCTCCCCTGACGGTTCTCTCCCAAATTTGAAATATGCAGACAGTTCTCCCACAATTTTTATTTGTTAGTTATCATTTTAGTTTTGACTTAATCTAATAATATTTCTTAACGAAGATTATTAAAAGAACAGAACAGAACAACAATTTTATTCATGACTTGTACAATAAGTACATCATCACATATACAAATATATACAATATGCATAATTGTCACAGTGAAATAACATATTTACATTAGTGATTACATATCAATTATCATATGAGGATGAACTACAATTAATTGTAAGTAAATGTAGTTCTAAGAGATAATGCATGTTTAATATACAAAGCTGGATTTTTCAAAAGTAGCTTGTTTGTTGAATTTAAAAGATCTAAAAACTTATGAATAATAGGTCTAACGTAGTAATAAGGTTTAATGTATGTTTTTCTAGGCTCAACATTATATGGACAAATGATAATAAAATGATATTCATCTTCCAGATCGTGCATGTTACAATAAACGCAATAACGTAACCATTCCTAGGTAACCTATTATTTCCAAACCTGCCAGTATGAATAAGTAAAGGATGAGAAGACATTCTGATTTTACTAATAAACAAGAGGGCCATGATAGCCCTGGATCGCTCCCCTGACACAACCGCATCCAAGCAATGTCTTAAACAAGCAGCATGGCCAAGTTTGATGACAACTGAGTCAAACATGTGACCTCTAGTGTGTTATAAAGATTTTTCCAAATTTGGGCAATGTGACCTAATTTTTGACCGGACACGACCCATATTCAAACTTGACCTAGAAATCATCAAAACAACCTTCCTGACCAATTTCCAGGAAATTTGGATCAAAACTGCAGCCACTAGAGTGTTAAAAAGATTTTTCAATTTTTAGCTCCTGTGACCTAGTTTTTGACCGGACATGACCAATCTTAGCACTTGACCCAGAAATTATCAAAACAACCTTCCTGATAAATTTCCAGAATATTTGAATCAAAACTGCAGCCACTAGAGTGTAAACAAGCTTTTTTCTGTTTTTAGCTCCTGTGACCTAGTTATGCCCCCACAATGTGGGAGCATATAGCGTTGCACTTGTCCGTCCGTCCGTATGTCCCGAAATCTTGTGAACGCAACTCCTCTTAAACCGGATGGCAGATTTTGCTTAAACATACAGGGATGAACAACCTTAAGGTGTAGATGGTAGTAAAGGAAGGAATTTTTGCTGCGACCAAATTTAACAGAATTATGGCCCTTTGTTGATTTTTTCACTATATACTATGTAGAAATTTTGTGAACACAACTCCTCTTAAACCGGATGGCAGATTTTGCTTAAACTTCCAGGGATGAACAACCTTAATGTGTAGATGGCAGTAAAGTAAGGAATTTTTGCTCCAACCAAATTTAACAGAATTATGGCCCTTTGTTGATTTTTTCATTATATACTATGTAGAAATTTTGTGAACGCAACTCCTCTTAAACCGGATGGCAGATTTTGCTTAAACTTCCAGGGATTAACAACCTTAATGTGTAGATGGTAGTAAAGGAAGGAATTTTTGCTGCGACCAAATTTAACAGAATTATGGCCCTTTGTTGATTTTTAGTTTTCACCTTGTGGCACATGTAGTCCAAAAAATATTTGACCTAGAGTCATAAGATTGACAGAACAGTGGCGTGTGGGGGCATCCGTGTCCTATGGACACATTTCTAGTTTTTGACCTGAGATGACCCATCTTCGAACTTGACCCAGAAATCATCAAAACAACCTTCCTGACAAATTTCCAGAATAATTGAATCAATACTGCAGCCACTAGAGTGTTTACAAGCTTTTTCTATTTTTAGCTCCTGTGACCTAGTTTTTGACCGGAGATGACCCATATTCGAACTTGACCTAAAAATCATCAAAACAACCTTCCTGACAAATTTCCAGAATATTTGGATGAAAACTGCAGCCCCTAATGTGTTAACAAGCTTTTCTATTTTTAGCTCCTGTGACCTAGTTTTTGACCGGAGATGACCCATCTTCGAACTTGACTTAGATATCATCAAAACAACCTTCTTGACAAATTTCCAGAATATTTGGATGAAAACTGCAGCCACTAGAGTGTTAACAAGCTTTTTCTATTTTTAGCTCCTGTGACCTAGTTTTTGACCGGAGATGACCCATCTTCGAACTCAATTTAGATATCATCTAAACAACCTTCCTGACAAATTTCCAGAATATTTGAATGAAAACTGCAGCCCCTAGAGTGTTAACAAGCTTTTTCTATTTTTAGCTCCTGTGACCTAGTTTTTTACCGGACATGACCCATCTTCAAACTTGACCTAGATATTATTAAAACAACCTTCCTGACAAATTTCAAGAATATTTGGATGAAAACTGCAGCCTCTAGAGTGTTAACAAGCTTTTTCTATTTTTAGCTCCTGTGACCTAGTTTTTGACCGGAGATGACCCATCTTCAAACTTGACCTAGAAATCATCAAAACAACTTTCCTGACAAATTTCCAGAATATTTGGATGAAAACTGCAGCCACTAGAGTGTTAACAAGCTTTTTCTATTTTTAGCTCCTGTGACCTAGTTTTTGATCGGAGATGATCCATCTTCGAACTTGACCTAGATATCATTAAAACAACCTTCCTGACAAATTTCCAGAATATTTGGATGGAAACTGCAGCCTCTAGAGTGTTAACAAGCTTTTTCTATTTTTAGCTCCTGTGACCTAGTTTTTGACCCGAGATAACCCATCTTCGAACTCGATCTGTATTTCATTGAGACAAATTTTCTACAAAGTTTGATGATGATCCAATCAAAACTGTGACTGCTAGACTGTTAACAACCCAATTGTTGACGACGCACGACGACGGACGCCGGACATAGCCCCATCACTATACCTCACCTTGACCACTTCGTGGTCAGGTGAGCTAAAAATCTCAAATTGCTTGGCAAAATGTCTAGGTACAGTTCATATGTAAAATTGTGTTTAATATTTGTATACAAATCTAAAACGTTATTGTTTTCCTTATCAACATGCCAGGTTTGGACAAAAGTGTCTATAAGCCTCTGTTTAAACATAGGTATAAATACAGATTTACATCAACAGACTCTGGGTTATTCCAGATATAATTAAAACCATTTATTATAGTTTAACAATTTCTTAACTTTTGTTACACAGTTTGTTTTACTATTATTACAATCATTTAGACTTATATTATAAACTTCCTTAAGAATAACCAGAATTTCAGAATTTTAACATGTCTTTATATATATAATGAATAGATAACGTGCTAACTCTCCATATACATGTACAGCTGCACAAGACATTCTTATATTAACATCTTTACTCTTTAAGATCTTTTTACAAAATTTCAAATGCACCCTTTCTATTTCTTTAGATTTGCCGTAGCCCCAAATTTCAGACACATAGTTTAATATTGAACCTACAAATGAATCAAATAGTTGACAAAGCAATTTGGGTTTCAGTCTATATTTATTACATTTTATTAACAACACATTAAGAGCTTTCAATGCTTTGCCAACAAGTTGTTCTTGGTTGAGTGCAAAATTGCCTTTATAATTGAAAACAGTTCCTAAATAGTTAAAATCATTTACAACATGTAACTTATGGCCTTTGTAAAAAAAATCCTCGGAAGGCAATAACCCTCCTCTTTTTCTAAAAATTATAAATTTTGTTTTATCAATGTTAACTTCAAGGCCCCATCTATCACAATATTACCATAATAAATTTAAACTTTTACATATTTCATCTGGTGAATTTCCAAGTATAGCCATATCATCTGTGAATAACATTAAAATCAGTAGAATTTCATTAATTTCTAAACCACATTTGACGTCTTGTTGTAAAAAAAAAGTTCAAAATCATCTATAAAAAGAGAAAATAAAATTAAAAGAATGTGTTTGATATTTTAAGTGCATTTTATGTTATCTGAAGTGTTTGTAAATTTAACACCCTTTTCAGGTATTTTAATCCTATCAACACCTTCATTGTGAGAGATTAAGATAATTGGACAGTGCTTGATATACATAGTGACACCTGTAAGGTGTAGTTAAGGTGTAGTTAAGGTGTAGTGATATTCATTCATTTGGTACATAGCTAATATGGTGTAACAAGTATGTTTTAGAAAATAAATAAGCAACAACTGGTATGCAATCACATTTCACATTTACTTTTATACAAAATTGAAGAACATGTAGTCATGAGCATCACGGATTTATATTACAAGGATTGGACACTAACGTTTAGCTTAAACTCTCGTCGCGCGCATGCGCGGAATTGCACATCGGATAAAGGTGGACAGAATGAGAGATGGCGGAACGCATTGAGAGCGAAATATGACACATTTTCACAAGAGTATGTGGTGTTATTGCAGCTTTGTGAAAAATTATACACATATGAATGTATTGATACAGTATTATTTTGTGCCGCTAAAGTATTAATATATGAAAATATGCCGATAGAAAGCTGCAACGCTGAGTTAAAAATGTACATTATTTAAAAAAATATTCGCCTATTGTTAAGTGTTTAGGCATACTCTTTACACTTTGACGCCCTTTTACTTCAAGCACACATTATTACCGCGATTCAGATTCAATGTGGCCATACCACGTGACTTTTCGGGTACGGAGCACGCCGATTTTTCACCTGATTCGGGTAGGTTTTTTATTTATAACTTATTTATTACTCAACCGATTTTGATCAGATAAGGCGCAGAGTACCCGTAATTATATCAGCTTTCCAT